ATTATATGTAGACACTATATAAAAAAAAAATATAATGTTTAATTATTCAAAATTAAAAAAATATTATTCACTGTTTTGGTGTCACTTAATATCCAAGTGGTCTCTAGTCTCTATTTTATAAAAATTGTATAAAACATATAAAAATGTGTAATTAAAATATATATCTTTTAGCCATCCTTGTTCTGACATCAGGTGCAGGCTCCGGAAACTAAATCAAGGGCCTAAAATCCTTTTAACACTTTTATTAGACATAGCCTTCAAGGCCTACAGTAATATGGAGGGGACTTAGTAAAAAAAAAAAAAAAAAGAGGCAAAAAAAGGGCCCAGTAGATGGCAGTTGCCATCACAGTATTCTGCCACCTCAGACTCACCCAAGGCCCCATGCGCCCTAGGGCATTCGGGACCTCAACCTCTCAATGGGCTGCCAGCTTGCATCCACTGCCAGCAACCAGGATACCTCAGCTGCAAAAAACTGTCCCCAGGGCCATGCCTTCAGTGCCATCATACAAGGCTCTAAAAAGGGGGACTGTCCCACTCTCCAGAGAGGGAGGGGGCCAGCCCAAACCACGGGCCAGGATGGGAGGACAGGCTTAACGGTCAGCTGCCTCTGATGAAGAATCCAGTGCAGGAGAAGACCTCTGAAGAAGCCCAGAGGTGAGACAAGCTCCCCTGTTTACTGTTTATACGAATAAGCCTCGGGTGACCCTAAAAGTGGCAGACAAAAAAAATCATCTTTTTGGTAAATAAAGGGCCACTTGCTCTGCCTTACTCCAATTCTTTGGATTGACCTACTGGTCGATTGCCCCCCTCACTAGTAAAGATGGCCAGACTGAGCCAAGACACTTTACAGCACTGCTACCTTGCTCACTACGAGGCTACTTGTTTGTACATTCTCAGTGGTTAAATAAAATAAAAAAATAACATTGTGTTTCTTTGTCATTGACAAAGTTGCACCAGAAATGTTTATAAAAGTATTTCTTTAAGACCGTTTTATAAAACATAAAAATATAATTGTAAAAAATTTTTGTTTGCATAATCATGGTTGGCCAGGTCTCATTGTGCATTGATGTTGAGCATCAATTCAAAAGAACTGTTCATTGCAGATTTTAATTGGTACCGGTGAGTCTGTGATTTTGCAACTTGTCTGTTCACATTTAAAAAAAAATTATCATGTAAAATTTCCATTTTTCTGTAAAAATAGGTACAATAATAATCAAAGTTTTGATGTCCTGAGTCTTCATCTTGGAAAATTACCTTATTCTGTTTAAACTTAACATTTTATGCACTAACATTTAGAGGGCCTCATTTTGATAACTGCAGTAACATTAAGTATGTATAAAACCCTAAAGCCCTAGACCTGTTAATGGCTAAAGTTAAAAAAAAAAAAAAAAATTTGTGACCTACTTACTCTTGAACTGAAATCTTTTGTTTTTGTTTTTCTCTTGCTTGGGCCTTACATCCTCAATGCCTTCATCGAGGTCATTTCTCGCCTGGAGACCATCGAACTATGAAGCCTCCACTGTCCTTTCGAGGTCCCTTAGATCATCGCCCTGCAGTGGAGCCCTGACTGTTTCCCCTCATCGCCCACTTTCAGCAGGAAGCAGTTACTGATCAGAGCGACGCCCCTTTTCCTAACTGCAGTTAGGGGCTCCATTCGCAGAAGGGGAGGAATAAGACATAGGGCAAGTTAGGGTAATTAGGCAGTTTTAGGGACAGTGCAGGAGGGGACCTCTGAAGAGTTTAGGAAGGCTTCAGAGATAACAACTAAAGGAATGTGTTAACGTTGGCCTTGGTTTCCTTCAAGTGATAACAGAGAGTGTTTTAATTGGAGCAGCAGACTCATTTATGCAAGGAGAAAATAAAAAGGGGTTAGTATTAAGACTGGTGGGCAGCAACCTGTTTTATTCAATAGCTGATGTTTAGTGACCAAATAAATAACTCTGTGACTGGCTAACTGGAGAGAAATCCCTTGTTTGAGCAGAGTAATTCTCATTTGTTACTGAAGATAATACCTCTTGCTGACTAGATAGATGGTTTAGAGTCTGATTTTCAGAGGTCATGGTCTGAGATGACCCAGAAAAAGTCTGTTTTGTATAAGGATGGCAATTTTAAATTTTCCTGTACCTATAAACCTGTGAACACATTATGTGGCTGAACTTAACCATAATTCTGAGACTGACTAACGGATAAAAGGCTTGGTAGCTGTTGTTTTCTTAGCTGACTAGCCGTTTTTCAAAAAAAAAAAAAAAAAATGGGGGAATGTGGAACCAAGCTTAGCCGAGGTTTCGCCATTTTGTATATCCTCCACCTTGCTATGTTAGTCCTTGTCCAGCCGCATTCCGGAGATAGTTTCAGCAGTCACAACCCTCACTCCACTTGGTGACGAAAAAGCAGACCACCCCAGCCACCAATAAGGGCAGTCCTATCCATAAATGGGACAGCATCTCTAACTGTCCAATCAGTTTGAAACTAACCGCACGCGCCAAAATGCCTTTGTAGTAGCCAATGAGTAATTGCCAGCTTCTTGCAAAGTTCGCGTCACTCGCGACCCAATAAGATACCCCTGCTTCCTCTATTCGGGGCTCTCGACCTCTGCCGTTGCATCGGTGCGTGTCGAGGGCCCGGTCTCGAGCCCGTAATAAACTCCCTTTTGCGTTTGCATCAGCTGTCCTTGGATTCTTGGAGGCTATGCTCGCCGAGTCTGCTGATCTTGGGCACAACAATCTCCAAACTCATCAAATTGTATACATTAAATATGTAGTTTTTTGTATGTAAGTCAAACGTTAATGAAGTAGTTTTGAAAAATGACTAGAATCCCAGTTGTAATTATCTGTGGCTACTCAGGAAATAATAAGTATGTGAGTGTGAGTGTGTGTGTGTGTGTGTGTGAGAGAGAGAGAGAGAGAGAGAGAGAGAAAGAGAGAGAGAGAGGTGTGAATATTCAACAATCCTAGTTTGCTTAATTCAAGACTTCCTTTAAAAGTACCTTGTCTTTCTAATTAATACAAAGTAAAAATCAAAATCAACAAGCAACTGTAAACCAGAGACACACTGGGGGGGGCAGTGGGAGGGAGGGAGAGGGAGAGGAAGGACTAGGGTCAAAATAAGGGGGGGGTGCAATTGCATGGGGAGTATAAGCAAAATGAAAATGTATACATTATGCAAAAATGAAAAATGATGTAAGAATTATATAAAATAAAATAAGTCAAAAAATAATAAACATAAATAAATAAAATAAAAATATAAAAAATAAAAAATACCTAGCCTTTTATAGAATAATTTTTGTAAAATACTTAAGTATTAAATCTTAACTAAGAATTATTAGTTTGGCTTGGCCATCAAGTTCATTTAACTTGGCCATCAAGTTCATTTAAAAGAGGTAACTAAATCCTCCTTTCCCTTATCATTTTTCTTGTTCTTATATTTCTTTTAAGTGTCATGACCAAGTATAAAAATGTACCTGTGATATTTCCATTTGAATGACCTGGTGTGTTCCTGAAATTGAGTTTACAAAAGCATAAATGACACAAGGGTGTTGCAGTTAACTAATGTCTAGTATTTGAAATCCCTGAAGCATTGTTAACATTATAAGCATAAAATTTAAAATTTTCCTAGTTGAATTACATACATATAGAGAGACCATATCTTACTTTTATAAAGGAAGTACAAAACACTTATTTGTAGCCAGATTATCATCATTTTGAATTTTCCTTCAAAAAGGAGTTAGATTATAGTTCTTTTTTAAAAAAAAATTTATACGAGCACTGGGACACAGGCCAGAGGCATGGGAGGGTGAGAGAATTCACCAGAGACAGAGCAGGGAGCAGAACAGGCAGAAGGAGCAAAGTACACTGCTGAGGGGAGCAGCGGGCGAGACAGGAGAGGTCTGCTGCGCCATGTGGGTCACCTCCTTGGCCGGTGCTGCAAGGCTGCGGACAGCTTCACAGCACTGCACTCAACCTGCTGCACCACCAGGGAGGCCCTAGATTATAGTTCTTAAGCATATAAGTGAGTTTCGTTTCTTTTTTACCCTAATCCCAGTATAGTGCTCTGTGATGAGATTGACCTTGTTTACTGAGAATAAACACCTAAGAATATAAATAAAATTTTACACAACTTCAAAAATATCTTTAAATATAATAATATTTTAATGTGGGCACATTATTTAAATTGTTGCTGATCCAATTATGTACCCCAAGGAAGTAATTAAACTCATTTGTGTCATTATTAATTTCTCCCCACAAAAGAGAGAGATGAAAAATAGGCCACAGAACTATATGAAAAAAGTCCCAAATTGCTGGCATTGGTGTTACTCTCAATCTTGTGCTGACTTTATGCAGTGTGATTCAGTTTAAACATTGTGCCAGAACAGGTTTTCCTGAAAGAATCACTCTCGCCCGAGTGACCTTTTTTGTTTTCCTTTCTATGTCTAAGACTCTTCCTTTGAAATACTATACCTTGGAATATGAAAGTGATTGACATAAATGGACATGACCTATCCCATCTTTCCTCCCTGTTCTTAGCCTTGTCATTTTAAACTCCAAGACAGTTTCTCTAGGTCTGAAAGGAGAGAGGAACTGCCGGAAGATAAGGTCATCACCCACTTTGGCCTCTTCCTCCATGGCACTCAGTACAGGCCTCTCCGTACTGTTTATCATTCTTCAGCAAATACTTTCCCAGTCAGCCAGTAATAAATTGTGCTGGACCTCATGCTGATTTGTTTACATGTAATGTTTTCATGTAATGTTACAGGAAAACTTGCAAAACTCTTAAGAGGCGAGTTGTCTAAGGACAGTGCCAGTGGTAAATAACTTTTTTCATCAGCATATTTGGTTGCAAGTAATGGAAACCAGACTTAAACTCACATTAGACATAAGGAGGTGCTTTATTGACTTATCTAATTAAAAACTCAAGGATTACTGCTGAGTTCAGATATGGCTTCTGGATCAAGGAGATCAAGTGATGTTTATCAGGACTCTATATTGTCCCTACAGCTTTCTCGTGGTGGCTTCATCCTCAGGCAGACTGACTCTCCTTGGCACTGGGTTGCTCTGCAGACAACTGGAACAACAGCCCCAGTGGAAGTGAAGATCTCCATTTCCAACAGCCTTGCAAAAGTCATGGGCCTGGCTCTGATTGCAGTCACATGACCATCTTGGATGTTCAGAGGATAAACTAAGGTGAGAGGGTTATACTTGTGTCACTCACATGCCCTGGAGCTGGGTCAGATCAGACTCTCCCTCCAAACGTGGGGCTCAATAATGGTGGGCTGGTCTTCAATACAAAGCAGGGAACTGCAGTATGAAGATGAGTGAGATTTGTCTTTATTCTCTAAATATTTCCATCTAATAAGGGAGGAAGAGAGACTTACTCTTGAATTACTCTACTGCAATCTAAACAGTATTCTGAAATGTTAAGGGAATGTCAAGTTGACACTGAGGGCTTAATAATCACAGTTATGAGGAGTGGAGGCCAACCAGGATCTGAAACAGGTATTTAGTGTTGTTGTATGATGTCCAAGCTCGTGATGGCAATACCATACTATATCCCTGCAGATTAAAATGCTCCCATTTTCTAACATGCTTGCCTATTGGCCACACTCCTCTTTCCTCACTGAAAAGTAGCATGTACATAGTCTGAATCATACCTTTCAGATAATTAATGTGCATTTTTACAGTTGGTCTCTATTTATTAAATTCACAGTAGATCATGAGCATCTGCAGAACAAGGACCATCTTCTCTTCCTCACTGAACAATGGGTTGTGCATACGACTATGTGAGCCACCACACAGAGACCCTATTATGTGCACACTGACCTGTATTCTGCTCCTGAATTTGGTGAGTGAGTTCATCTTGACTTCAGAAAAATAAGAACAGTTTCTCTTCTAACAACTCAACCAACAAACTTCCCTCACTTCCTAGGATATCACACTCAGTGAGAAACAGCTTAAATGCTTAATGCCACAGACAGATGTTCTCAGAATTTAGGTGTTATTCTCAGGAAAATTTGGATGATTTTTGACATTTGTAAGCAAGCCCCATATCAGATGCTTACTTGCTATTTAATATTTGCAGCATTTTATACGAGAATACATTAAGTATTGAGAAATATACTAAACATGGCTTCTCAGTAGTGGGAAATGTAAAGGTTTGAATGCACGCAGGCTTAGATTTCAGTCTTGATAGCATGTGGACTTGGACAGTTTCAATGTCACTGAACCTCAATTTTCAAACCTTGGAGGGATGCGGTAGGCTCGGTAAAATATCTATGCAGTGCCTAGTTCAGAGTACATTGCATGTAACTGCTCAACAATAAATGGTTTCTTCCTTAGCTTTTCCTCTCTGTCCTTGCCAAATAAGGCAAGACACATCTTCTGGCATACTTACTTATGCCATCAAGCCTCTACTGGAACAGCAAATGATGACTGTGCCTGAGTCCAAAGCTCTCTCTGTAGACTAACCAAGTGCTTGCTGCCGTCATATTTGTGTTGACACTCCATGGCCTTGCTTAGTGGGGGATGAAGGGAACGCTACCTAGCCTTGATTAATATCCTTGATAAGTATTTCTTTAATGTGAGATACTGGCCTCCTCTGTGAATGCTGCCTTGAAACAGATTTTGTTCAAATCACTTTGATGAACATTTATTGAACACCTGCTGCCTGGAGTCAGACTCCCTCGATTCACATTCCCATTTTGCCCTCTTACTAAGTCTATTTCTTGAGCAAGTGGTTTATTTTTCATCTGTAAAATGCAGTCCTCGAAGTGCTTACCCGAAGGGTGGTTGTGAAGATTCCAAGAACCGTACCCATGAAGTGTTCTGTATGGTCCTCAATGGAAGTTAACTCTTAGTCCTAATTATCAAGTGCAATGTGAAGGAGGCATAAAATGAGCCCAGTAGAGGGGAAGAATGGTGTAATAACTGGTCTTTATCTTCTCAGAGTTCCCATCTCATAGTAGATAAAGAGACAATTACCTTTGAATTACTCTATTTTAATCCAAACTGTATGATAAAACAGAGGAGAGGGCAATTCTAAATATAATAAAGAAGAAAATTAATTTTCATTGGAATTGATCTTATCTACCTGAGATACAATGATCTCTTTCTGATCTTGAAGGGTGTATAGAAACGGATCCTATTACTTAGGTATCCCAAGTAACTTACTCTATATCATGATAGCATGCTACTTGGACTGCATCACTTTTTATATGTACCTGTCATTTATTTCCTAAAAAGATAATTCCTGGCATGGGGAACTGGTAGATGCTCATTTGGCTATTGTGGGATTAGTAAATAAAAAACCATATTTTTAAAACTATAGACAAGATAATTTTGAGTTTAGTAAACTAGTCAGCTAGTGTTAATTTATGGGATCTGCAAAACCAAATTCTTTGCAAGGAGGTCCTTATATATTGGATGGCTACAGTTTTTTGAAAGAAACTCTTAAAAGAACAAGCAGAGTTGTCCATGAAGCGATAGCAGCAAAATTTTTACTGTTGAAATTTCAGATAGAATTAAGTTGGGGCACATCATCTACATATAGCAAACTAGCATGAGCTTGAGTCAGGTAGCCTCAAGTTCAGATTCTCTCTGCATTCACTTCTTATCCATGGAAACTTGAATAAGGTACTTAATTTTTCTGAGCCTTCAAATCTTCTATACAATGGGGATCATAATAACCACTTCACAGAGTTGTGAAAAGCACTTATGTTTACCCACATAAAGGATTGAGCCAGGATCTGGCAAGTAGCAAGTGCAATTGAAATAGAAGTCCCAGTAATGATAGTCATTTATCACTTGGGACAGCCATCTTCATATTGTCCATCAATTTAGACAAAAAAGTTCTCTACAGGTTGATTAGACTCCTTTTGGCCCTGAGAACAAAGAATGTTTGTCCACAAAGGACAGTTTTCCCTAATGTGTTTTTAACTGGCTTTGAAAATTACAAAATAACTTAAATACTCTGAGGGGATGGTCCATCTGTTCAATTTTCAGATCAAATGAGGAATGAGCCCAGTTGAGGGGAAGAATGGATGGAGCACAAGGGACCCAGTAGTGATGCCTTTGAAGTCTTATTGCCTGTCTTCTTTTTTATGAGTAGGCATTAAAACTTACTTTTTTTTTTTTTTTGGTCCTTCCTCAGTGCATTGACTATCTCTGAAAACTAAAAGAGTGTAATCTAGAACTTTGGAATAAGGAATCTGGAGCCATGTTTCTCATGTGAACTTGCTCTAGTCAGTTAAGCTCAATGTGCCTCAGTTTCCTCATCTAGAAAATGAAGACAATAATGGTATCTGTTAGAGTTGTTGGGAGGCATAAAATGAATTAATAGACATATAGTCCTAAAACTAGTACCTCCACATGATAAATATATGCATATTAACTATTACTGGCACTCTCTCTTGCTGAGTGTAATCTGCTTGCTACGTCTTATATTTTTGTATGCCCTCAGAAGTTTTTCTATACCTACAAAAAGTCCTTAAATCAGATTAAATACAATTTTTTAACTGAACTTTGTACCAGGTATCTTAGCTATAAATTCATAAATTTTAATGATTTGCATATTTTCTCATATGAAATAAATATATGGTTTAAAAACTGTTGACCATGTATCCAGTCACATTCTGCCAGTATTAAGCATGCTTCATTTATTATAGTTTTGTGCTAGTTTCTTGGAGCTTTGAAAACAATTCGAAACATGTATTTCCAGTATTATAGTATGTAAAGTAGGAAAATACATTGAGAGGAGATAAAGAGAAATACTATGAATGAATCTACACTATGTTTAAATTCAACTATGTTCATATGATTTATCTATTTAGAAATATATTTTCTCTAATAGTTTGATTAGCTGCTTTGGTCTTGAGAACATAGATGTCATTAAAGATAATTCATATACAGAATATATACATATAAGTATATATTTACACATAGACATGTGAATATAATATATACATGTATATATATAATATATAATGTGTATTATACTTACCCACATATGAACATGTATATACAATCTTATTCTTACATGTATACATGCATGCATAATATATATGTATGTTACATGCTATATATATGTGTGTGTATATATATATATATATGGGCAGAGAAGAGAGGGAGAGAGATAATGAACTTTAGCGAGGCCTTACAGAAATGCAAATAGTGAAGAGATTGTGGTGTGCTTTTCTTAATATCATTGTATTATTTACATATGAAAAAAGTTTAATATTTGTGTCTATACACAGTTTTAGCAGTGGCTGTAAAAGCACTCTCTAATGGTGATGCTAGGATAAAGATTTATACTCTTAAATAGTTAGTGCTATGATATCCCATCTGACCTTAAGAAAATGCCAAGTAATTCTCTAGAAATAGAACTATAAAATGGTCACCTCTTAGAACAGCAGTTCTGTCTGTAAAGGATCTGTTAATCATTTACATGTCTGGGTAGAAATCAATAGCTAACTATTGTTTAATTGGTAAATGTGCCGTGACCTCATCATCTCAATGAAGTCCTCCTTCTAGGAGATTCATCTCTTGGGATAACTGGAATTAGTCTCAGGAATAAGGAATTAATTTCAGAAAGATAATGAGCATGGTTTCAATCAGGCTGAGGGGTAGAGATGATGGGATAGAGAACTTATATCTTAAGATTCTGATTTATCCAGTTTATTACTAATTTACATAAAACATGAATAAAGCTTGACGCCAAACTTGATACTGTACAAAAGATAGAAACTACACTTACTAACAGTATCAGAAAGAAACAAACTTAAAACTGAAATCCAGTTTCAGACCTTTCATTTAGAATAGCAGTTCCACACAGTTTATATGAAGATCGAAGATGTTTTCCAAATTCTGCCTTGCCTTCAACCTTCCTTTCCCTCCTCCTTGGTCTGAGTGGAGGTACATACCTTTATGTTAAAAAACAGAGCCAAGCATTGTCTTCCTAAAACACCTTTAATTTGTTTATGTGAAAAAACAAAACAAACAGAAACAGACAAAAAGCAATTCTCAGATATAATCCCTTTCCTTTTACCCTTATTCTGTAAGTTTACACAATTTATACTGCCCCTTAATGGGCACTATCATTTGATGACTATGGAGTTTTAGGCAAAATCTAATAATCTCTTTAGGTTCCAGATAACAAGGAATACTAATACTTACCTTGACCTATGTATATGGTTTTCTTTAAGAACATGAGATTTACCCTACAAACAAAATTTTAAGTGTACAACACAGTATAATTAGACAGAATATTGTACAGATCTCCAAAACTTCTTTATCTTGCATGATTGAAATTTTATGCATATGAACATCTCCCTACTTCCTCTCTCCCCCAGCACCACCCTTGTTGTTGACCATTTTAAAGTCCATGTGTTTGACTATTTTACATACTTTTTATAAGTGGAATTGTGAGATAGTTGTTCTTCTGTGACTGACTTGTTTCACTTAATGTCTTTAAAGTTCATCCATGTGGCTTAATGTTGCAGGATTTTCTTCTTTTTACGACTGAATGATATTCCATGTGTGTATGTATGTATGTATTTTCCATTTCCTACACACACACACACATTTTCTTTATCTGTTGGTGGATATTTAGGTTATTTTCTAATTGTGGCTATTGAGAATAGTGCTGCAGTAAGCATGAGGATGCTACTATCTCTTCAAGATCCTGGTTTCTTTTTTTTTTTTTGTCTGATTTCTGTTCTTTTGGAGAATTGCTGGATCATGTGACAATTCTATTTTCAGTTTTTTGAGGAACTTCCATACTGTTTTCCTTAGCAATTATTCCATTTTGTATTCTAATTGATAGGGTACAAAGGCTCTAACTTCTCCACA